CCATTTAATAGCTTCTTTTCTCTAAGTAGTGCAAGGCCAAGGCTAGAGATCTGTACAACTGACACAAATAATCATCAGTTTCATTAACAGCAACATCATTCAAATGACTTGTTACGTGTATTGTTACTGCTGCTGCTCAGTGTCACGTCACAGTCCTTTGTGTACATATAGCATCTCTTCAATAGAAAAGATTAGCCAGTAACCTCCTCAGAAGACATTCATCTAACAACAAAAGGCAATATTATCAAAGTGCACAAATACCCAGCTCAGACAGCCTCTGTAAGACTCTAGTGACTCATATGTATTTTCATTTAAATTCTCTTTAATCCAACACTTCATTTCATCCATTTCAACAAAAAAGTGATGCATCATCTTCACATTTTGTCTTTCTTTCAAGTACAAAATCTACATGTTCATATTCCTAACAGAAACAGATGGACTAAGCGGTATGGTAAGTGGAACTGATAAAATAGACAATGAGTATAGAAGCAAGGATGTTTTAATGTCATGGCTGATTGGTGTACATTACTGTGAAAAGGTTAGAGACCATGCTTTATTTATTAAATTTCCAATTAAAAGCCATTAAGCATGAACTTCTAACAGAAGTTAACAGAACAATAATTTGTGTTTTACATTCTAATAACTTATTATTTGAACGAACTCAACCTGGAAACTGGTAAATTAAAATATTTATTAAAATATAAAATATCATTTTTACAGTGCAAAAACCATATTTAACAGAAAATTACACAAAAGTCTCAAAAGGTAAATATAATGATACAGGTTTCTAGCATTTGCCTTTGTTACAACGTCCATTCTTTTCAGGAGTTTCAGTTTTTCAAAGAAATCTGCTGGGATATTTTTCCACACCTTCAATGACGCTGGAAGTTGCATTTTCTGTCTTTCACCATCCAAGTAATCCCAAACACATCCAATGATGTTGAGATCTGGACTCTGGGATAGCCGGTCTATTGTTCAGAGGACACTATCAGTTTTGATATTTAAGTCCAGTTTATCTAATAGTGTCAGATTTGGTGGTCTACCAGGTTGTTAGGAGTCCCATTTCTCTATATCTTTTAATTTTTTTTAACATGCTTTGACTTATGTTTCTTTGTCTTTTCGCTTCCTTAAGTAAGATTTTATGTCTAATCTAATGGTCAGTTTGACTGGAAATGTATATATATACGTACACTTCAGAGGTGACCTGAATAACCTGAAAAAACTTGTAGACAGGTTACTGGAGAAACAGTATTTTTAGGAGTGTTTATAGTAGCAGTGCCCTTCAGATAGGTGATACACTATTGTTGTCCTCTTGGCTAGTGTTGCAGCACCTAACACTGTCAGAATAAAATCTGGTTCAGTCTCTTGGTGCTGCATTCTGAAAGCTAGTGCTCTTTCCAGCTGCACTGAAAAAAAAAGGGAATTCATTATAGATCAAAATAAAATTGGCCTGTACTGCAACTCAGCTGCTGTAGAGTGAAACTATAAAAATACACAAAGTTGACATTTTGAAATGTCTTCAGCTCTAAATCTGGCATTTTGCATTGCATGTTGGTGACAAGCAGCTGTGTGAGGATGCACAGTAGCTGCAGAGTAAAAAGGTTGGCTAAATTTACCTTTGAAAACAACACTGTGTTAACACTTATAACAAATGAGTAAATCAGATTGATTACTAGACTGCAAGTGTTTAACAAGCTACTGCATCTACAACATTATGTACAGTTTCCTGTACTGCACTTCACTAATGGCCCTAATACAAGAAAATATGAAAAATGTGCAATTGTTTTTGTTTTTATAAAGCTTGATACCTGAAAATGACTCCGTATTTATTGGATGTTTCATATTAATCTTTTTAATGTGTCACATATGATACTGTTGGCATAAGCAATTCTTTTTTGATAACACTAAGACTTTAACTGATAGTAATTAAACCTTTTAAACCTTTTAAACCTTTTATGTTTTTAACTTTGACCAGTACATTGGTGTACTTAGTCACTGATTTAAACTTTAAAGTTTAAACTTAAAGTTTTTTCCTCCAAAACCAAAGCTTTATATTAATTTTGTTTCTATTTTTGTTCTGACATAAGATCCATTTTTTCCTTTGCCAACCCATCTCACAAATATGATGATTGCATTATTTTTAATTCATTTTTTAATCTAATTTCTTTGTTACAGAGCTATATGTTTCAGGCTCATTTGGCATGGTGATAACAGAACACCCAAAAAAGATTAATACGTTTTTTTACTCAATACCTACAGTTACAACATTGACATTCAGTGTGATAACACACAAAATACTTTTTCTAAACACAGTAAATTGTCAAATATTTCTTACAAAATTAATTTAACTCTGTTAATTGCTTCTATTTGGCAAGCTAGTTTTGAGGAATACTTTTGTGTTTTGTGTTTTTTGAGTGATCACACTGAATTGTACAGTAAACACATTTTAAGACACTTGCATTTCACTGACACCCCAGGAGGGGGCTTAATACAAGCATCCCAAAGGACACAGCAGGAGTTCTTGGTAGCATATTTGATGCATATGGCAGTCTGACACATTTGCAAAGCTACAGTAGCAAAACTTTGGCTAGGACTGATGAGAGATTTGTGAACACTTTCACCTCCTAAATATCAATTTATAATCATCATTTCGGAAAGAAAACACAAAATAGGTAAAACAAAATCTTTTGAAAAAGCAACCTGGTCTCAAGAAAATTGGTAGGAAGGCATCTGAAAATCATTTACAATCAGGATACAACAAGAGTAAGAGGAGTAAGAAAGCTGATCATATTTTTTTTATTCTTTACTCACTGAACACTCAGAAAAGGTTAGTTGACAGGGTACCCAGTAAAAGCAAGAGTAATGTCATTTACAATGCAAAAGACAGGACAAAAAGCGTGCCAAACAGAACCTCTACTAGCAGCCTGTATCACAGTACTTCCTTATTGAACTATAAAGTGGTTTTCTAGCTTCAATGCTTTATATTTATTTTATACTAACTTATTGAAAAAGCGTATTTACAGCTGCAAAATCTAAGATCAATTTCACTTCCAGTAAAACTATTAAATTTGCAGGGATCTTTTTCCACACCCTCAAATTTCAGGCACAGAAGTTGGTTAAACTTTCTGCTTCTTGCAATCCACGTAATCCCAAACACATTCAGTGATGTTGAGGTCTGGACTTCGGTGTATATGGTCTATTGTTCTGAGAAAATCAACAGCTTATTTGTTTGATTGGCAAATTTTCTTCTTTATTGTCTACACAGCTACACATACTTTTAGACCCACAGTGTTGAGTTGTTGTCTCACAGTGGAAGATGGACAGAAACACCTGAGACCTTTTTCAGATCTGAAGTAAGAGTGGAGCTTGATTTTCTCCTCTCTCTCAAAGATGAAGACTTTACTGTTTATCTGACAGTGGCAGTTTTGGTGGTCTACCAGGTCTTTCATGGTTGTTTGGAGTCCCATTTTCTCTGTGTCTTTTAATAACTTTTTGCCCTACAGTTTTGGAAACTCCTGTTTTTTAACTTCTTCATTCTGTTATGTAAGTGAATTATCTTCTATCTAATCTCCTCAGAAATATCCCTTGAAAAATTATTAACTGGTATTTAATGGCTTTTTTGATCTGGAAGTAAAACAGATGAAGTGTGGTCTCTGACTTTTGCAGAGTACCGTACATAGTCTATGTATTCAGGTTATTTTCACCACTGCTGTTTTGCCTGTTTGTCGTTTTGTCAGGCTCAATTCACTAACTGTTACCAACATTTTATCTCTCTCCTCTCAAGTCTTGGTCAGTAATAACCGGTTTGTGGAACAGCAGTAATTGCAGTATCTTATAACAACTGCAGAACATGGTGTATTCCTTTAGCACACTCTAAGCATGCAAGCACAAGCTGAAGAAATTTGCTCAAAGCAGAGGAGTGATGATTTGCTTCTATGATTCTTCATAGTTTTAGCAAAGCTGAATTATTTATAACTGTGGTGTATCTCCTTGACAGCTAGAAGTGATTCTCAATTGACACCTCAACAAAGCAATAAATTAAATTCAACATATTAGGGCATTCAATAACTTCAATAACTTAAAATTCTCCCTCAGATTCTACAGCACTGTAAATTCATGAATTCATGAATGAAATTCGTGAACTAAAAAATTGTGCTGTCATGAGACAAAACATATACTTTGTGCAAAGTAATCACAGAGAGATGCAGGTAAAAAAGCAAAATCATTAGAAATGAATTCATTTTTTAAAATGCCACTGTCAATTTTAGATCAATTATACACTATATGCCCAAAAGTATTTAGTTTTTAGTAAACTTTGCTACTATGGTGCTATGGTACTAAGGTGCACCCTCTTTCGAAACAGACATTCAGTTTCCCACACTCACAGCTTGTATAATCTCCATAGAAAAGCAGTGTCAATAGAATGGGATGCTCTGGAGCAGCTGCACATGAGCCATGCCCAATGCCAAACATCAGCTACAGGGGTATTAAGCCCCCAGCACTGGGCTGTGCAGCAGTGGAACTGTTTTCTCTGGACTGAGGGAGCTCCATCCAATACCTTTGGGATGAGTTGGAGAGATGTTTCTGATCCAGACCTAATCATACAACATCAGTATCTGACCTCACTAATGCTTGCTGAATGCAATCAAATCCTCACAGCAATGTTCCGGTACCTAGTGTAAAGCCTTCCTAGAAGAGTAGAAGCTGTTACTGCAGCAAAGGGGGGACAAACTCTCTATTAACACCCATGATTTTTAGGAGAAATGTTGGACGAGTCGATGTCTGTAAAAACACTGGACATACAGTGTATTTTCAGTGTATCTGTAGATGCATAAATGCACATGTAAAAAAAATTTCCTACAATACTACCTAGAGACAGCTGCTAAGAAAACTTCACCAATCTTCACTTTCATTCATTACTTTCATAATCATCTATAATCAATCACAGAGTGAGTGTATGTTTTCAGAAGCATGTGTGGTGCTCTATAAGTAACACTCACCACTGTAAGTGACCATCCTAATGGTGGAGTCTCCCTCGCCAAACCGTGTGATGGGGGTAAGACGCACCTCGTAGGCTTCGGGCCTGATGAGCTCTGTCAGGTTGTACGTGATGAGCTCTCCTTTCTGGATGGGACCTTCCACAGGAATCTCCTGCTCCCACCACCTCTGCTGCCCTGTCTGAGGAAGAGAAGCAAGATTACTGTAGTTAGAATTGTACTTGATTACTTGATTAAAAAGGCATTGATTAATATTTACCTCAATAATGAATCTGCAATGATTTGTTCTACATGATGATAACACATTTAAAGTCCTCATAGAGTCTTAAAAATAAAAGTTCCTAAATGGTTCCTGGTTTAGGCGTCTGATTAGAGGAAAAAACAGAATCCTTACACTATGTGGAGGTTCATCAAACTTTAAAAAAGATCTTCACAGCTGCAATTCCAATCCATTTGAAGTGCAGTGATCCACTGAATCCACTGAATCCAAAGATCTATTGAATCGATTTTATGGCATCACTCCAAAGAACACAATGAGAACCCTTTTTGGCACCTTTTTTACTGAAAAGTCTTAAGACTGAAAAAGTCTGAAGGTCAGTCTCAGTTATATGCATTTTAGAGACATGTTAATGGTATTAATAGTGTATGTTTTTTTTAATAAATGTATTTTAAATTTCAAACCAGGTTCTGCATGGTCAAGTCTATTTTGATGTTTGGCTTTAAAAAAAAAATCTTGAGTAAATTTGTTACTCAACTACTCGTCAAATTGCTAATCTACTTTATTATTAATGTAATTATTAGTCCCTGGCGATGCTACAGCCATCCATGGCCAGGAGTCCTAGAGAGCACAATTGGCCTCGCTCTGGGTGGGTAGGATGGCCCCCCTTCTCCCCCCATCACCTAACACGATGCTAGTCAGCACAGGCATCTGTTAGCTAACATAACAGAACTGGCGGTTGGTCCTTTCCTCCGATCACGTTCGGCTGTCCAATGACGTTGTGTGAGCGGCATTTCAAACAGATGCGGTGGATGGCTTCACAGGTCTCGGAGGAAGCCTGTGCTAGCCTCGTTCTCCTAGCGTTGGTAGTATCGTGTGATTGGGAGAGTCCTAACTAGTAGGTGGAATTGGACACGACTAAACTGGGGAGAAAATTGATATACATATATATGATAGTGAAAGCCCAGGCACATTTTATTTTGATTTGATTTGGTTAAGTTTAAGGTCAGGGTTAGATTTAAAAGAATCTGTTACATTCAACTCAAAACTTGTGTTTTTTTTTGCTATAAGAACAATAAGTAGTGAAATGTAGATGAAAATGTCTGTTTCCTGTCACAGTGTTAACATGGTACAGCAATGTGTGGATTGAGTTGTACAATTCTTATTACTCTTAACTGTTCTACTCAGTTGAGGTCTCAGTGACAGTAAGACTACAGTTCAGCCTTGCATAAGATTCAAACAACAAAAAGATAAAGAAAAGTAGGTTCATATTAGAATGAAACTATACAATCTAGGATACCATCATTCCAGTAATCACGACTTTGGTGCTTAGGCTTATTAATTGAAATGTATTCTTCAACAAAGAAAAAGAAAATGTATCTACCAACTCCTGCAATGTCTGAATAAGATGTCCTTCATCAAATACAGAACATATTGTTTAAAAATGTGAAATGTTTAGATTTTATTACTTTACTATAATAAGATGGCTTTAATCTATATTTTATCTTCTCAAATACACAGCCAAAGGGATACCAAAGACTTATTTGTGAAAAAGAATGCTTTCCTTTGCAACTGATTTCTTTCTCAAAGCTGGTTTCATGGCCTCCACACAAAGTATGCAGTGGGAAGAACAAGACTCAAAAGTCTGTCATGACAGCATAAGTCCATGGCCTTGTGGTAAGGAACAAGTGCTAGATGAGGCAGAGCATGTCTCCAGCTGGAGGACATAAAAACACTGCATCACCAGTGGATCAATTGTTCCCTTCAGACATGTCAGATGATGGTTCATCACAAGGCCAAGCAGAACCAAGCCCTGTGGAGAAAATTCCTTTCAATACACTATGGCATACGCCTCTCCAAGAGACATGCAGCCATTGATGCAGAATTCCATTTAAAAACATCTTTGGAAAATGCTGTTGCTCGTGATGACAGTCATTCAATTGGAATAAGAGTTGGAAGGAAAATAAGAGCAAAGCAAAATTCACAAGAAACCATGAAGGAGAAACACAAAAAATGGACATCTGCTTTCTCAGAATGGCACCATGTTTCCAAGGAAACGGGAATGGAACATCTGAAATTGGCCAAATTACAAACAAATTACTAACAAATTACTAGAACATAGCAACATGATGTATGAATAGATGAACTGAAGATGATGGTTTTGATAGTTTTGAAAAGTGATAATTTCCTCCAAATTCATCATGTGATAGGTAGAGGCTCCGATGTGTCTGACTATCTTCTACAGGTCGGTATAGCAGTTTAAGCTAATGTCAAAGTTTTTGTATATTTTGTCCATTGCTGTTCAATACAAACCAATGATAAAATAAATGAAACATTCCTGACATTTCACTGATTCAAGAACGTTATTTGGTTGCTGTTTAATGTTTATATGTTAAAAAACTAAGAAAGCATTGTCCTTTGAAATGATAGTTTTTGCAAATATTTTTTTTGTTGAGTTATCCGCCTGAGGGATGCAGGAAAAAAAGTTGTTTCGAGCAGATATTTTAACTACATAGTACATACACTCGTTTAAGTGCATCTTAGTCAATGTTTATTAGCAATTCTTCTGTCACTACAAACCACAACAGTGTTTGATAAATAATTTAATGTTTACTTAAATTAAGTAAACTTAAATTTAACAGTAAAATTATATGGGACTCTTGTAGTAATAGCATGATCTTTCCTACTGGGCATAACTGAAGTTATTGCAAGTGAAGTGTAGGCAAAGTCGTTAATTCTGTATATTCAGTGGGATCATTTGATAATTTCATTGATTTCTAAATTCTGACATGCCGCATCTACTTTCATGTCATGAATGAATCCACAAAAACAATTTAACTACTGCTCCAAATTAGAATAATAGATAAGATAGTTATAGATAAATTATAACCATGTCCACTGTGTTTTCACAGATGATTCTTATTTCACATAATGTTCAACTTTTGCTTTTAACAACATGTGCATAAGTTTAAGCTGATTTTATAAAGCTTATGTTTGGTAACCAGCCACAGTGTCCAGTGAGCAAAGCAAATTGACTCATTATATGCTAATATTTAGCTGAAGAAAAAAATTGCAGGCCAGAATTAAGGATAAAATGTAAAAATGTAACAGGCTTCATTTTAGAATCTTCTACAGCTCCGTTCTTCATTCAGGACACACTTCTTAAGTTTTTTTATTTATTTATTTATTTTTTTTAATTTAAGGCTCCTAACTTCTCCTAACTCCAATTGTATAAGACCTGTAAATTGTACAGGACTTGTTTCTATAATTGAAAACAGTGATTACACCATGTGAACAGCAACTTTTGCATGGTAGCGTATACTTTGTGCAACTGCTTATGGCCAAAACAGCCATTTGCTCACTTGCTCACTATTATATGGACCCATTAAGCTGAACTGGAAGTATCACCCTTCTACAAAACAAAGCCAGAGAAAATTACATGTCATGTTTTTTTTCGTCTTCTTCTTCTCCTTTCACTAGTGTAGCATTAGCATTGATTGAACGGTCTTTCTGAAACGGAAAGCTGGTCTGGTTGAAATAATTAGTGGTGATGCCATGAAAGCTCACACAATTAGACTTTTAATTGGAGTTAAGATGCAAAGGCATTCAGAGATAACAGCCTTTGTTAGCCTGGGTCCACAGGTAAATGGAAAAGTGTTGTTTTGTTATTGGTAATCGCCCACATAATTCAGTGGCTAGCCCATCCTTTCACTCACCACGCACATTCAATCCTGCCTCCCTGACTGGAATAAGAATTAATTGGATCTGAGTGTTTAAAGTGTGCGCACAGCGGTTGGGAGCAGATGGTTTTGTTAAATGCCAAGGCTTGGTGCAAGAACAATACGCCATCAAATTTAAATGGAGTAAAATGGTCTACATTCCACGTTACGTTGTAATGGTTTTCTAATACGTTCTATTAGTTACCCTACAAATGTTAATCATGCAAAAACAGTGTGATGTTTAGCTGTAACTGGTCCTACTGAGATTCATAGAAGCTCATTTCTTGGCTCACTTTCTATCTTCCACGGGGGGTCTTAGTCATTGTTGTAACCACCCTGTGTGCTAATAAAGATCTTTGATTTGTTTTCCCCAGATGAATCCCTATCATCCTGTTTTCTTGATGAGCCAGTTCATAAGAACTTTATAAGAACTCAGGAGCAGAGGAATCTGATCAAAGACAGTGCCAGCAGAAGCGAGCGAGACTGTGCGCTAATCAAAGTGTCTTCGCTGCGATGGTGGAGCCTCAGCCGTACTGCCCATGTGTAATTAGCCTGTTTGGTATCGATCCCGCTCTCTGGAACCCCACATGCCCATCCACAACTAACTGACAGATCAATTGCTCGAGGAGCAAGAGCAGGAATAAGGGGGTTGCAGGCAAAGACAAGGAGAAAAGGAAAGAAGGATGGCGCAAGAAGAGCAAGGGGCCAATGCGAACCTGGCTGGAGCATGCGATAGCGAAGGTGATTCTTGCTTTGTTGGGGCTGCACTCAAGCCTTTCAACTAAGGCTTCATTTTCCATTCAAGCCTGCCTCTCAAAAGGCCGCCGCCGATAACAGAAAAATCATCCATTATGGAGCGGCAAAGCCCAGCAGCCTTCAGTATTAATTCAAAGGCAGTGGCGAGGGCAAAATGATAATGATTGTGGGGGAACTGTGAGGAACAGGCTGCGGAGAGCTATAAATAGCACTGCATCCCTCCACGTGCATGGCTTCTGGTTGCCGTGCTACAGCACAGTTTCGGGCGCCTGGGGGTTGGAGACATTTATTTATTTACGAAGAAGAAGCTCCTTCCACTGCAGCAGCCCTCCTTTCTCATTCATGTTCAATCATTCCAGCTCACTGCGGGGTGGGGGGGTGGGATGGTGGAGTTGGATCGTTGATCATAGCGAAAAAAAGGGGTCAAGATTCAATTTCTCTCCACGGACAAAAACATGAGAAAAAAGAGCTCACCTTAAATCATGAATG